AAATTATTTTATTAAAAGAATGTGTAGTTGAAAATAAATTTTGAGAAAAATGAATTTTTAGAAATGGAGATCAAATATGGGTACATATATTTCTGAAACCTAATTAAAAAATGACTCTATAGCTAGAATAAAAGCTTCTCTTATATGGTTCGGTCCGATTCGGTTCGATCGATATATATATATTTCTGAAGCCTAATAAAAAATTGACTCTATGCTAGAATAAAAGCTTGTCTTTTATGGTTCGATTCAATTCGATCGAGTGGTTCCGAGTAAAAACTGCTTACTCTTACCACGGCCCTAAGCCCTGATATAATTAGGCAAAACTACAAAATAAAGTAAAAATTGGGACTTTAGCTGCAATTTTTCTCAAAATTGAGATCTCCATCAAGAAAAGACGTGAGGACGAAATCGATATTAACCTTAAAATCAAGGACCGTTATCCATGGTCAGAGCCTTCTGTCTCCCACCCACCGACGCCACCCAATCTTCTCATCGAAAACCCTTCCTCTGGACTCTCTCGCTCTGTGCATTTCAATTAATCCCTTACTTTTCATCCTCTCTGCCCCCTCTCTCAAATCAATTACAGAACTTCATTTTCCTTGTTTAGAATCCTCATATCTCGTTAAATCTTTCGATTAATTAATGGCTTCGATCAAAACTGGCCATAGCCCGGTCAATTTTAATGTCTCTTCCGCTTCAACAGCAGATCCGGGGCAGGGGAACCCTCCGTCGAATAATTTATGGATTGGAAACGTTTCAGGTGAAGTGTCCGAGTCGGAGTTGAAAACGCTTTTCGAAAAGCACGGAAAAATAGATAGCCTGACTCTGTACCCCGGCCGGAACTACGCCTTTCTGTACTTCAAGGACATCGAGGCTGCCAAAGCTGCTAAACAGCGCCTACAAGGATACGTCCTCCGTGGTATCCCGTTGAAAATCGAGTTCGCTAAATCGGTATGTATTCAATTGTTTTTATCGTGTTTTAGATCCTTTGCGTTTTTATTGGTTCGATTTGAATAGAATTTTTACTGGTTTTGTTTGATAGATTGTTGGTTTTATTTTGTATAAATTTTGTTTCTCTAGGGTTTAATGTGAATGTATTGGTTTTTTATTTTTTGCTTATAATTTTGGGCAACGACAGCGGAGTAAACAAGGCTGTAAAAATGAGGAATTTTTCGTGAACTTGGTTATTCTTAATGTTTTTTTGGCGAAAATGGAAAGTTGTTGAAATTGTTGATGAGAGTTTCAATAAAAATTTGTATAATTTAGATGTATAATTTTTGCTTAAAATCAGAATAATTTCAACAATTTCCAAAATTTTACACAACAAAAAGAATCTTCGCTTTCCAAAAATTTGCGAGGACAACTTTATAAGATTTAAGATTCTGTTAGTTGTACTACCGAATTAGAAATAGAGACTATGCTTTTAAAAAAAATGTAACGAGGTTAAATGGTTTATAATTGATTTTCAGGAGTCAATATTTTCTTCTTTTCAAATCACCTTTTGGAGGTAATATTACTAAATGTAAACATTTTTAGATCTTTGTCTCTTGGTCACACATATCAGATACAAATTTCCTGGCAGAACACTGGTATTACTTTCCGTAGCTGAAAGTTATAATTATTTTCTTACAATACTTGATTAAATTTCAGAAACACAAGATGCACAAGTTCAAATCATAACATTTTAGCTGCTTAAAATTTAAAACCGGTCTATATTGCTTTTGTGATCCCGTAAACAATGTATCTGGATTGGACAGGCAATAACTATTACATGTTTCCTCAGGATAGGTGTTATAGGCTTGAAATGTACTTGTCTTTGTACAATGGCGTTGATGTTTCGAAAAAAGGTGCACTTTAGACCAGGTCTTGTTTAAACGATTGAATGTCTAATGTTCCAATTGAAAGAAAAACTGGACATAATGTAGTAATTCTTCTAAACTTCCCCGTCTCTCAGTGAGAGAAGGCTGTACATGAATTTTTATAGGTTTTGCAGTGTTGATTTCAAAATTAATCTTCACATAATGAATGTTTGAAATAATCCTGCGGTTTAACATATTGCAGAAAATAGTAGAAAATGACTGAAAATATGTCAGAAACATGTTGTCAATCGGATGCATTAACAAGTAAGCCATTTGAGTTGGACATTTGAACCATTTGATATATTCTCTTCTAAGAAAGCACCCGGCACATTAAGGAATTGCCAGCTTAAGTTTTGAAGATTATGTTAGGAGACTGACTAATAGCTTGAGTGGTATATTAAGTATTCTATAGTAATAAATGAGGAAGGTTCTGGAAATAAAGCTTGTGTGCTGATTAGTGTAAGTTTTTCACAGACCTTACAGATTTGTTTTACAATTTGAGGACACTGAGGGTTGGACAGGCACCAAAAACCAAATAGGGAGTTTTTTTTATTGAAATTTTTTGAACTTCTTTGAGACTCATTATTTACTTCTTAGTGAAGAGATGACAAGAGAACTTGGCCTCAATGTTTACTCTGGAAAACTTGAGATGGCACTATTGAATGACAAGATCAAATGCTATTATTTAAAAGAAATTTTTTCACTGTGTAGACCTGGGAAGAATATAATGCTTTTGAAATTCATTTATAGTTATAAGTAGTTTCTCCACAACTCAGATTTGTATTCCTTGAACTGCTGTCAATAGGTAGAAGAATGTGTAAGAGAAGCTCTGAATGCTGTATTATTTGCTATCCTCACTCTAGAAGCTATTGCCAATGCTATGAAGCCAGAATTACCTTTTTGGATATGCAAATGACATTTAAATAGTAAAAAATAAAAGGGTTTGACTACCAAAGGAACTTTACCATTTCCAAAATTGATGTCATCCTCCTTTTCTCGAAGTCAATTCTTGCTTTAATATTTTAGATATGCTTGAACTGTGCGAGGAGCACATATACAGTTTCTGAAGTTATCTTGCCTATCTTTTCCAATTCGCAACTTCTAGCTGCTTTATGTCATTCATTTTTAGTTAGATCATCAACTTACACAGTATACAAAGTGTATGATTTGAACACAGGTGCTCGAATAGGTCTATATGTCTGCCAGCACTTCATTTTACTTTACCTCATTCATTTCTTTGATATTGATACAAGAGGTTTTTTAATTGAAAAAAAGAAAAAAAAGAAAAAGAAAAAGTAGATATCAGGTCCGAGTCAAATAGCAATGATTCGAAGCACTTATGAAGTGCATAAACAAGTTCCTGAGAATAATGCCAAAGCAGGATGGTTAATAATATCAGTGCTACAGTGATAGTTGATGGATTATATTTCGTGACATCTTTATGTGTTAACAAGATGAGGGGAGCTTTTGGTGTCCCTTTCAAATAAACTTCCAAAATGATTAATGTTTATATTTGATACTATCCAAATGATTTTTTTTTTTTTTTTTTTAAAAGAAATGGAACTGAGAAACTCATTGAGCTAGCTCCTCAAATGGACTTTTAGAAGTCGGCCGCCATGTGTATATTAATGAAATGGTTGCTTGACTTCTTCAGTCTATCCTACTATCGTGCCAAATGCTGCATAAACCTGTCTATCCGCTTCCAATTGTATGTTTAGATGCATTTTATATTGTTGCTTACAGATATTTTTGCTTTGCTTTTTCATAGTTCTCAATCTTGTTAGACTTAACTCCCTTGAGGGTATCATGGTCTCTACATTGTATTTTAGGAGAGAGAAACTTATACCAACTTTTCGAGCAAGCTTCTCTCGGTTTGAACAGTTATTTCCTCTTGCTCTGATGTTTTACTGTTGCTTGAACTGTTGGCTTTATTTAATTGTATTCTTTTTGGGTTAGGTAAGTGAAAAAATTCTCCAACTGTACGGATGGAAAGTGCCTTGACTAAGCACTTCTGAAATTTCATCTTCTATGATTCTTTTGTTTTTGGAAAGATGTTGCATAAAATCTTTCGAAAATCTGTTGATATTTGTTAGTTATTTCATTAACCTTGATATTTTCTGTTTTTCATTGGTATAACTTCCATTTTCTTTGGAATCTTTATGCATATTATTTGCAGGCTAAACCATGCAAGAGTTTGTGGGTGGCTGGTATCAGCCAATCTGTCTCTAAAGAAGAACTGGAGAAGGAGTTCTCAAGATTTGGTAAAATACAGGAGTTTAAGTTTCTCAGGGACCGAAGCACGGCATATGTTAATTATATCCGATTGGAAGATGCTTCTCAAGCATTGAAAAGTATGAATGGGAAACAAATCGGCGGTGATCAGATTCGTGTGGATTTTCTTAGGTCACATTCTTCTAGAAGAGTAAGTTGCTACCTCTGCAGATATGTTCTGTAAATATTCATTAACTAAATCTAATGATTACTTGCACAAGGAATGATCCAGTAAATTCTGGCTATTGGGATGGTTGGAGTCCTTTATTTACACATTTTCTCCACACTGGATAGTTTTAAAGTTTTGATCTTCTTGTGATCTTCTCTTTAATATCTCTCTGCTGTCTTTATGCTTGTAGGAGTTCATGTTACCTGGTTTATTTTGCTTTTCTCCTGATATAAATTATTGTTAATTTCTGAGTCTTACAGGAGCCGAGTTCAGATGTAAGAGAAGGCACATTCCCTGGCAGGAACATGGGGCCGTGGATGGCACAAGATTCCATGCAAAACTACACTGACCCCAACCTAATTGGGTCCATGACGGAACATGTAATCTATAACTCCATTGATGTTAATTTTATTTTGAGAATTTTGCATCTCTGGTTATCTCACTTGAGATCTATTTTAATTAATGAGAAGATGAGCAATGGATATCCTCTCCTGCTACTAGTTGCTCTTGGCTGCAAGTACGTATACGTTTGGGCGATCCATATAGATGTTAGGATTTTTTCCAGTTAGAAATATCCAAAGTGCAGCTGGTTCTTATTTTAGTTGGAAATGCCCATGTAGATCTCATGTTAACACCTCCTGACATCCTTGTTATTATCATAACATCTCCAGTTTGATTATTCTTCTTGATATCTTTAAACAACTGTTCTTGTATTTGTTGCAGCAATTCCTTTCTCCAGGTGCTCGACAAGGAGACTTACAACTTACTAAAGTCCTATGGGTAAGTCACCCGCCTTCTGTTATTCTTGAAGAAGAAATGCTTCACAATGCCATGATACTATTTGGGGAGATTGAGTGGATAAAGATACTCCCTGAGAGGCACTGTGCCTTTGTCGCATTTAGAAGCGTTGAAGAAGCTAGACGTGCAAAAGAGGGATTAGAAGGCAAGCTCTTCAATGATCCCAGGATTTCAATTGAGTATTCACGAAGTGAACCATTGCCCGGAAAAAGTTACACCAGTCATTATCCTGGAATGAAAAAGCATGTTCAGGACCTTCCATTTCCACCTGTTCAGATGGACGTTCTTCGACACAACCTCCCAATCTTAGCCAATAACAATCCTGGACATCTAGGATCCCTCGGAATTCGTGGACCTGATATATATACGAGGCCCTTGGGTCTTCACACTACCTTTGAGCCTGCTCTTACACATCCAGAGTTTGTTGACATGGCGGATTTGCATAAATTGCAGAACCCTAGTCCCCATGCTTTGTCTGGGGGACCAAATTGGAGAAGATTGTCTCCCACACCTGCGTTTGTCCCTTCTCCTTCAGCAGTTTTAAAACCATCAAATAGATCTACTTCTGATTCATGGGACGTGTTTGATGCTAGTCAGCTTCAAAGAGAATCGAAAAGATCAAGGGTTGATGTCCCTCTCCCAGCTTATGATGCTTCTTTTCCTCTTAAAAGAACAGAACGAGGAGGGTCGGATGATCAATATGTGATGGGTAAACTCAGTGCTGGCGGAGCATCTGGTTCTTCAGTAAGGGTCACAACGAGTGGACTTGGACAGCGCCATACTGAGAGTGATTACATATGGCGTGGAATAATTGCGAAGGGTGGATCACCTGTCTGTCATGCTCGCTGTGTTCCTATAGGAGAATGGGTTGGTTCTAAGATGTAAGTATGGTTTTGCTTGAGTTCATAAATTCTTGATAAAGGTAGTTTTCCTTTAGAAGATAGGATTGCATCATTTAACTTTAAAGTGAAATACAGATAGTTTTTTAAAGTTTTTATTTTTGACTAATATGTCTAAAAATCTGATTCATCCCTCACTCTCAGTTTTCCGAGTCTTAGATTCTGTTTATGTTTATTAGATATGTTGACTCTTATCATCCATCTAAAAGTACTGCCCTCCGAGTTTGTTGTTTCCTTGAGCAATCATATTAGTTTTCTTGAGATATTGTAATTTTAAAGGTTTTATTTACAACTACTAAAACTCTTATATGTTGTTCTTTTGAAGATACATCTATATTGTTCTTTTCGTTCTTTGGAAATGCTTACACACTTTTGAACAAATATATATATATATATATACACATACATATATAGTTAGTTAGTTAGTTAGTTTTTACACACATATATTTATCTGGCCTTTGTTTGATGGGGGATTAAAATCAGATTTTTTGTAGATTTGATAGAAGTTGATGAAATGTGTAGTTGAAAAGTTGTGGTTGACTTTGACTTAAATAAAAATCTAGATTTTAATCAGTAACAAACAGGGACTTAGTATTTACTCAAATAAAAACAAACTTTTATATATATATATATATATATAGTTAGTTAGTTTTTACACATATATTTTTTATCTGGCCTTTGTTTGATGGGGGATTAAAATCAGATTTTTTGTAGATTTGATAGAAGTTGATGAAATGTGTAGTTGAAAAGTTGTAGTTGACTTTGACTTAAATTAAAATCTAGATTTTAATCAGTAACAAACAGGGGCTTAGTATTTACACAAATAAAAACAAACTTTTCTGTATTTGGTAAGGTATTGTATCGAATGTTGATGTTCGAATCTAGTTTTATATATATTTTTTGGTTTTGCAGTCCTGAAGTGATTAATTGCTCTGCAAGGACTGGATTGGATATGCTAAGTAAACACTATGATGATGCAATTGGATTTAACATAGTGTTCTTCTTGCCCGATAGCGAAGAAGATTTTGCATCGTATACGGAGTTTCTGAGATATCTGGGCTCCAAAGACAGGGCAGGTGTTGCAAAATTTGATGATGGCACCACTTTGTTTTTAGTGCCTCCATCTGATTTCCTTTCTAATGTTCTTAAAGTCGCTGGCCCTAAACGTCTTTATGGAGTAGTATTAAAATTTCCTCAAGTTGAACCGGGTATATCGTCCATTAACACCCAGGTGCTTCAGCCTCCATATATGGATTCACAAGAACCGACTTCCTTGCACACTGGATATACGATGATGCCCCAGGAGAAAAAGGTTGTTGAGAAGGACTATCCTAAGGGTTTTAATGAAGATTCAGAAGTTCCTGCAAATACATCTGTTCTGTTGACAAGTAATTCTTTTCCTGCACGATCTGTTCCGCCAATGAATGCTGCAGCAGCATCCCCAGCTGGAGTATCTTTGACACCCGAACTTATTGCTACTCTTGCATCTTTTCTACCTGCCAATAGTAGTTCTTATTCAGAAATTGCACCATTACCTGTAACATCCTCTAAGCAAGATGGGTCTACATCAAAAGTTGTTGCTGTTCATGATACTGAGATGGCACATTGGACACACGAACATCAGTCTTTGGAGCAAACAGGTCGTCTTATGCAACAGCTGGGTAGCCAATTCACCAGCCACTCGCAACTCCCTCAAGCACAATCTGCATCTGTAGTATCAAATATGCAAAACCCTTTTCATCAAGGGGCCACAGATTATGGCCAAATCCATGGTGGCAACATGAGTTTGCCACCTCAAGGGACTGTTGCATCTAGACCATTGGTCTCTGTCCATCCTTCTCAAAGTGGATCAGTTGGGGTACCGGATGTTGATCTACAGTATCAACCAGGAAGTTCTCAGGATGCTTTGATAGGCCACAGGGTGGATCATGGAACTGATGCGTTAAGGTTGTATAATACTTCAACAATTCAGCAACATATGTATCCCATTCCATTATCCAATCAGGTTCAGGACGCTGGTGTTTCCCAGCCGCATTTCATGCCACAAGCTTCTCAATTCGAGCACACAAATCAAGGTCAGCAGCTTCAGTCTGCTCCTTATGCAGTGGCTCAGGGAAGCGCTGAATCTGAGGCCGATAAAAATGAGCGCTACAAGTCAACATTGTTATTTGCAGCCAATCTTCTTGCTCGGATACACCAGCAACCAGGTAATCAAGCTGGGCCAGGTGCAGGGAGTCAATAAGAAGATATTCTTCATCAGGTAAGTGCACTTTCTTTGGTTAGTTTGCTATTTTGCTAAATTATGGCAATGTTTCTGATAAATTACTTGCGTAAATTGCACATCTGCCATGATCATTATTTGTTGTTTCTTCTTCATCTTCCATGCTCTATTATTTGGGTGTTTGATAGATTTTAATAGAATAGAGGGGCTAGAATGGTAATATGAATACTTTTGACAAATTTTCTACAAGGTCGCTAAAGTTTTCTGAGACGTTTAACATTCTGTTTTGGTGGTCTAAAACAGGGTGTGGGGAGGGTGAGTTGATTCATAACAAAAGAGTAATATCTAAATTTCTGAATCAGTGGAAGGTATGTTTATGGTATCTAACAATATTGCTTTGGTGTTTTCGAGAGAGTCAGAAAGTTCTTTTGAAATTCAAAGAGTCCCAATTTCTGGGGGTTGTAATGCCTCCTTTTGTGTTGTGAGGATGGCCACTAGTGATCGAATGTTGAGCTGAACATTGTTCTTTGGAGTTTTGAATAGCGAGGTGATTAGTTGAATATGAAACACCTTTGGAGTTTTGAATAGCGAGGTGATTAGTTGAATTTGCAACACCTTTTATAGGTCTTACGAATTTAGTAGTTCAATCTAAGTGAAGATAGGATGTTAGCTGGACGAAATGGTCAGAAGGCTAGAAGTAATGTCTTGGTTTCCATAATTCATTAGGCAAATAATGTTACGATTCTGGTTCTCCCAGCATTCCTTCATTTGTGGGTCTAACACTCTTTAACTGGCTATTTATTAAAACTACTTTTCATCCTTAATGATCAGGCGTCAATTCAATGTGTGCACAAAAGTGTCTTAAATTATCTAGAAGTGGAACTTGCACAATTTGCTGTAAGCTAACCATGGCATTCTCGGGGATGTGCATGTGAATATATGCAATCATCCTGTCTATTGTCTAGTGGACTTGCTGCTTTACATCTCCATTGTTTGGAGAAGACCAGCGATTAACTTTCATGGAGGCAGTGTCTGTCATATGGATAATATATTGCGCATGTGATATTCTATTTACAGATCACGTGTGTATCATTCAACAATGTTGATATGACATAGATCTAGTTTATTACATCAGCATGTGAATGTTCTGAGGATTGATTGGTTAAGAATTCATTGAGCTCTGAACAATCTGTATTTTTTCCTTATTTTCCATGGGATGTGGACTCTGATGACGCATGGATGTGCCTGCCTGGTGCATGTGTATCTTTGGGAATAAATTTTTTGCTTCCATGACAATGCCCATCTCATTTGACAGGCTAACATGCTGGGACGACCATTAGAAATTGAATACTAGTATTAGTTTGTAAGACTTAGAATCGAATCATCCACTGCTAAGCAGTTTCTGTTCTTAAGATCCTGATTACTGAATTAGGTGTAACTTAATGGATTAAGTCCTTGTAGGCTGCAGTAGTGTTTTGGAGTGATTGTTTTTAGGCATTGGGACAGCATTAATATGTTAGTATGTGAAGAGCTTCCGAGGACTGCTCTAAAGGGGTGATTTTTGGGGTATGGACATTTGTAGGATGAGGTTATGTTTCTTAAGAGTTACCTAATGTTTCGATTTGCTTATTTGACTATGCATAATACTTATCATTGAAGTGTTATGTTAATCATCTCTATATTTGTGATAATTCATTCGAACTGCACACTAGTTTATTTTCTTGAAAATATACTTTGTTACTTCCCTTCCACTAATATAAAAAATATGACAGCTGCATATTCGGTATGCTGCTTCATTTTTGTGAGTATTATCCTACATTTTCTTGCAATTAGTTATTCTTAGGTGAGCTTTATTAGCCTCTATTCAGTTTGTAACTTAAATTTATAATTGTGCTTTACATACATTTTCACCCCAAAAGGTCGAGAATTTGCTCAAATAATTTTAAATTCGTTCTACGTGAATAGTCCAAATGTGATCAAGGTATAACCAAGTAATATACTACAAGATTCCGTTGAAATATACAAACCAAGATACTTACAATACAATAGGGTGAATTCATTATATATCTGAAGATCATTGATCTGGGAAGTTATTGACAAGCTAATACTCGGTGATTTATACCTGACTAGCAAATACAGGTGGAGGTTGTGTTCTTGGTCAACAAATCAGGCTTTTCTAATCGTTATTCCCTAGAAAAATAAAAATAAAATAAAATCCATTCCCATCTTTTACCATCTCAAAACTAATTAACCGAGCTTTTTTATTCATGGAGAGTTCAATCTTGGCTTGGGATGAATGCTGGTGGCATTCTTAACACATGCAAGTCGAAGGAAAGTTGTCTTTAGTGCGTAAAAACCAGCTCTTGGTGTGGACGGTAGGCAAGTCTGTATTCCTTGGTTTTAAAAGGACACCTTACAAGCATTGTTTCTAACTACTATTATTTAAAGATAATCAAGTTATTAAAGAAACCAGGAAATCACCCCCTTGCGTGGGAAATTGCATAATCTACTTAACCATTCGCTTCCCCGTTGTGTGAATGGATAATCAAACAATTGCAACTTTTCTGAGTGTAATTCATATCAAAATTTCCTTCGCAAAATTTTGTAACTACTTCAGGGGCCATAATCTGGTAACTACATCAAAAAATTGATCATATTCTCTTAGTTCGCCGATACAAAATCACATCTTTTGAATTCAGGTTTTTGATAAATGTCCCTTCTGAGAATACGAGCTTAACCTTTGCCCACAATAATCACTCAGATTTCGTGATTAATGCAATTCAAAATTGTTACATATAATTTATATTATGGGTTGATAATATAGAGTGATTGCCTATCAAATGTAGTCGTCAAATTTAACGATCCTTACTATCTAGTTGTAGATGAAGTCAAATTCAATGAGCCTTGCTATCTATTTGTAGATGATTGCTGTGTCCCTCTCGAATTCTTAAACTAAAAAACCAAAAATGTAGTACTCTCTTGAATAGCGTTGTCTCAAAACTCGTGTGTTGTGTGGGTTTTAGAGTAGAATTTTATTAAAAAAAATGGATGAGTTGGTATGCAAACTATAATGAGATCTTGAGAACTATTGGCGACTTAATGAAATGGAAAATGTTGGATGTCTGGTGGCACGGAGGGAAATGCTAGGATTATGTAATTAATACATTATAAAAATAACAAAATATTTGCCCATTTTTCGTGCTGTACGTGCATAACACTAACAACAGAAGGGACGAACAAAATGCGTCTGGAAACGTATCACTCTGCCTTGAAAATTTATGATCTTGTTCGTTACGTATGCACAATCTCGAGCTTAAAATTCTCAGCAGTTAGAGATGAATTTTAATTAATTTAGTCTTAAATCCAACTTATAAGTGGGTGGATTTTGGGTCTCAAACTTTAAAGGGTACAACCAAAAATTGCCCCATTTGTACTTCGTGGTTGGCAGTAGAGATGCAAAAGGATGCAGATCTGAGTTGAAAAAATATTCAACTAATTTACTTTTAAGTAGAGTTGGTTCGAATTTTTGAAAGTCTTGGACACACAAGCTCCTTGAGTTTGCCTTATAAATAAGTACATCTGGAGAAATAATTTGTGCTTCGTCTATTGTGACTACCCAAGTTGAGTTTCGACAAATATTTAAGCTTGAAATGTAACAGTTTAGGATATCAAAGCTTGTGTGTTGCACTGTTTGGTACATATTTTTGGTATGGAAATCGAGAAAGGTCCTGCGTTACTGGTGTCTGATTTCTGTTTTGTACGATTTCTTATACTCTTTCTTTATTGGTTTGATATAACTTATTTTTCAGATCAATAAATTTCCTCATAATGGTTATAAAATTATACCAGCCCTCGATTGAAAGGAGAGGATTTATGAAAGAATAATATAAATTTTGCTAAAAATGGGGAAACAAATTGTATTTGAAGGCATAAATACGGTTCCATAAATGGTACGATGCATAACCGGTTCGCAAAAGCACACGTTGTTTTCTCGAATCTTAAAAGTAATAAAATAGAAAAGTTTTCTCGAATCTTAAAAGTAATAAAATAGAAAAGTTTTCTCGAATCTTAAAAGTAATAAAATAGAAAAGTTTTCTCGAATCTTAAAAGTAATAAAATAGAAAAGTTTTCTCGAATCTTAAAAGTAATAAAATAGAAAAGTTTTCTCGAATCTTAAAAGTAATAAAATAGAAAAGTTTTCTCGAATCTTAAAAGTAATAAAATAGAAAAGTTTTCTCGAATCTTAAAAGTAATAAAGTAATTGATAATTAGTTCCTCTCAGAAGATAATCGTGCTTGATATTTGAAACGTGACGCTTTTTTCTTTCATTTTCTTCTCTTATTCCTTTACAATTTCAAAATCATATTTCAAAGTTTTATTCTTGCTTCAAAGTTTCGGACGAATGATAAATTATATCTCAGTAAAAAAAAATGTAATAATTGAACCGTTATTATTTGTCTAAAAAGGAATATCCTAATGTGTAGGTACGTGACCGGTCTATTCGGGAGGCATCAACGGGAGTTCAGTCGCATTTATAAACGGGCAAGAGTATTTTAGTACGACGAAGACTGCAATTAATATTTCCTAATTGGCCCTTGTTTTTTCAGACAGTTTCGTAATTTTGTTTATTCTCTCCTGATATGGACAACCAAATTGACTCCACTTGGATTGCAAAATTGACTAAATAGCCTTAGTGGTCATTTGTTAGACTGTACTAAATGGGGAACAAAGAAATTGAATGTCAACTGGAGTGATTTCTGGAAGAAAATAAGAATTTTGCATCGCGGATTGGCTCGATTACTTCGTGGTCTCAACCCTTCGATGCCCTTTTAAGAACGTTTGAGGAGTGATGTTTTGCCTCACATTGCTTTAAATGTTGCATGGTCAGCCATGCATTGAACTTTGAATTTTAGGAAATTTAAATTCAGCATTTTCTTTTTCTAATTTTGAACAGGATAAATTTGGGTATGAAAGATAAGTGAACACAGTTTTGAGTAGGTTTTGAATATTACAAATATTTTGTTGTGTATATCTCAAACATTTATAAAAACTTTAAAACTTAAGGTCTGTTTGATAGCAAAGGTGAAAAAAGCAAATTAATTCCATATAAATTGTATAAAAAAATAAAAAATCATCAAAATCATAAGAATTTGATATTCATGGAATTGGTCAAAAACATACTTTAAATGTTTATACCTTGGAATTCGAACTTCGTTTTCACTTTCGTATTAAATAGTTAAGGTAGAAAACGAATTCTTCGAATGACATTTTCATGGAATACGACGCTATCAAACGGACCCGTAGTGTTATGTTCGGCGTTTTAGTTGTATTGGTTGATTTAGGTCGACTCTATTTTTGTCACAATCTTAAATTTTGTGCCTTTTGAAACAATTATTTTGTTTGGTAATCCTCCTTTTAGTCAAATATGGCATCTACGAGCGGTCACCTAACTAGTCATTCTAGGGCTGTCAATGTACTGTCATTTTTCATTTTTGGAACTGTCGTGAAGTAGTAAGATGGTGACAGGTGTGCAAACGAGTCGGCTTGCAAGCCAAAATTTTCGGCTTATGCTTGGCTCGAGCTTTTTCAAGGTGGGCTTTTTTTGGCTCGAGCAAATAGCTTAGCCAAAAAGTTAAGGCTCCTCGAGCTTTTGGCTCGGGCCTAATCGAGTCGAGCCGGGCCAGGCCGAGCTTGGTTTTCTATAAATAAATAAATATATATATATTACCTCTTTGCTGCCTATTTGGCAGCTAACTATATCAAGCTACCTGCTGGCAGTAAATCCACTATCAACACGTAAGAGAATTTTCCTCTTTTTTTCTTTAATACGAGCCGACTCTGCTCGAGCCAACTCCTCGAAATGGGGCTCGGTCCGAGCCTTGACTCGATGCCTCCAAGCCTTGAGCCAGATGGGCTTGGGCTTTTTTCAAGTCAAGTCCGATTGACATCCCTAGATAGTGTTAATACAATATTTGCCTCACGTAAAAAGATCTTTTGGGACCTAGTTTGTTGTCGTATTTGGTGTTAACGAAAAATCTGTCTCGATACTTCGAATCGTTAGACGGCTCTATTTGTCGAATTACTTATGATCCTTGGATTAAGCATGTAGATTCAGCTTTTAAAATATTATAATTTGTATATGATTTTGTGTTTTAATTGTAAAGTAGAATACCTTATTTATAGGACTATAAATAACTCTAAAAGAAAAGATTGTGTGATAATCAAACAATTAACTATTAAGGAAAATAATCTTACATGATTTAATTGAGAAAATATTATAGAGATTATTCTTTATATATATATATATTTTAGTATCTTCAACACCATCCCTCGAACTCAATATGGTATATCGACAATAAAAATTGAGTTTGAAAATTATATTGATCCAATTAAATTTTCCTCTTCTAAAAATCGAATGATACTTCAAAATTGTTTGAATGCCATTCAAACCAAACAAATAACTCATAAAGTTGGTGTTATTATCCACCAATATAATGAAATCATCAAGATTTGAAGGAAAAATCACAAGTACAACGAACAAGGTCAAATCAAGAACCTCTCAGTCTTAAAATCAGATAGGTAAAAATAGACCATGTTTAATGGTAGCACTCTAAAAACCAATAGATAGTATCAGTACCACACTTATAGATGAAGGAAATACTGATGAAACAGGAAATCTAGCACACGATGAAACTAAAACAACAGATGTGATGGGATTAAATTCGATGAAAAAAATCATGATAATTCTTTATTTTCTCGAATACCAAATCTTCAAGGAAGGAAGCAACGAGAATAGCCAACATATAATGGGATTTGAATTAATCTGAAACCTAGACTTGATGTGAATATCTAATCAAAACAAGAAAATTTGATTGGGTTATGGGTCAAAAACTCACAAGTTTAATCCAAAATAAAGTTAAATCCTCTCTAATACCATGCTAGCATATTATAAATTGTATTAATAAATTTTTGTTTTTATTACAAATTAAAAGACCCTATTTATATGGCTATAAATAACTTTAAAATGAAAGATTGTGTGATTATCACACAATCAACTATTGTCTATTAACGAAAATAATCTCACATAATTGAGAATCAACTATTAAGGAAAATAACTTCACATCTTTAAAAAAAAATCTTAGATGTTATTCTTTACAATTTTTTCATATTTTCAACCCCGGTTAGCATAGTTCTCTCTCCCCCAGGATGTGTTGCCTCGTCTTAAGGCGAGTGGACAAGGGCGGCACTGTTACATCCGACATTGTCATAGGATGGTTCTGTGTGGATTACAGGTTGGTCGGTTGCTTCGTAAATACATTGAGACTCTTCGAGGTTGTGAACAAATTAAATTCCCGTTTGATCCCCATTAAATTTCATTACATTACATTCCATTTTTCTCTCTCTAATTTTCAATCACACAATCTTTCATAAAATAATATTACACGTAAATCGAAAAATTTTCCTTCTTTTTCAACCATTCATTTTTTTAAAAAAAATATTATTCCACCCATTTTTCATTTTCCGAAAATAGGGGCTAAGCCTATGTTTGGCTCCCCTTTCTTTCAATTTTTGATGTTTGGAATAGGTTTTTTTTTTTTTTAATTTAAGATTATGTAGTTAAAAAAGGAAGAAAATTTTTCGATTTAAGTGTAATATTATATTATAAAAGATTGTGTGATTGAAAATAAGAGTGAGAAGAAAAATTTGAATGAAAAAAGAGGTCAAACGGGGTCTTCATATACGGATAATGTGATGCAAGGCATGACATGGATACGCGATCCTATGTGGAATCCATTTTAGCTCCACGTAAGAAGTTGATATAACGCAATATGACATGATTCGCAAAAAGTGGAAGTATATGGTCACCAAAGATTATTTAATTCCTCAGCTTTGAGGCAATAGAGTGTTTCCGTGTGTTTGTTTTGTTTTGTTTTTTTTTTTTTTTTTTTTTTTTTTTAAGTAAAACATGTTTTGAAGTTAACATGTCCACATGTGTAGCACTTTCATGAAATGGCACCCAGCAGTTGACACATGAAGCCACGTTTGCAGCCATGTCATCGTTCCGTCAATTTTTGGACGGACTATGAGCTAAGTGATGAATGGGTTACAAATGCAAAGTTCGGTGATGGATTGAGTGAATTTTAAAGTTCAATGACCCCTTGTGGACCTTTGGCAAAGTTTAGTGACCATTTGGGCTATTATCCCTAAAATCACATATATGGAAAAATTTTAAAGTTCTATGCCTACTATTGGATTATAAAATAAGGAAAAATTTCATAAACATGAGCATAAGTATAGCCCATTTCAATAATGAGAAAACGAGTTTGAAATTTCAAAAATCAGATATTCATCTATAAATGCCTATATATATACTAATTTATTTGAGAGAAAAAACTATACTTACAAAAACAATCGGACTCTCCATACATTAAAATTCTTCACTCCAGCTGACAGTAAAAGCCATAGAGATCTGAGATTGCCTACATACTCTCTCGAAGCTCTCACAGTTGACGGTAATCGCATAGTCTGGGTCACAATTTGCAGTCGCGCTGTTGCATTACATCGAAATAACCCACAAGTTCGTCAAGTAGATGCTGATATGTTTGTTTTTCATTATTTTTCCATTAAAATGAAAAATATGACTTTTATTCATCACATCAAATCACTATATTTAACTTTCTATCTCTTCTGTGGGACTCATAACAACTATATTTTTCATTTTTATTTTTACATTAATATGTATCAAACAATACCTTAATTTCAAATGAAGAAACTTTACAAACTTGTTCCTGGATTGAATCTAAATATAAATTAAAAATTATTAATAAAAATGCAATACCCGTAGTGGGGCCATGTCAGTCCATCTTAAATGAACACGCCACCCCTCTTTTATTTATTTATTAGGATTTTGGTCAATGTTTCTATTAAAAAATTTGGTGATAGAATTAATAAAATGTGGGATTGATGTAATCTGTTTGGTATTGATTTTTAGAATTAATTTTTTTATCTTTAGAGAGGAAAGTGGGTCCCATCAATAAATGAAAAAGTAAAAACGATGACTGATCATGTTAAGTAATAATAAAAAAAGTTAATGACCAAAAAAATTAGAACCAAACGGGAAATAATTGATAAAAATTATAAACACGAAATATTGTAAAAGTTTATCATCAAAAAGTAATTAATGACTTTCCTTTATCACGCAGACAAGCCACACAAGTGTCTCTGCGTATGTATCTATTTGTATCCCTCTTACATATATTTTCTTTGAAGCTCTCTCTCTCTATCCATCTGACCACGTGAGATGTGACTTACATGGCTATTCTCGCATGTGAAACCTGTTGAATTCTCTTTATCCTGTTTATAGAGATCCAATCTCATATCAGAAATCTGAAAACAATTAAAGGAAAAATTCTGACTGTAAGTTTTTTAATTTAGTTCTCTGTTTTCTCAATTCCCATCTTCCCCGTTGCACTTTTTTTGGGTTTCTGTATTTTTCGATGTCATTTTATATATGAATGTATTTGCTTTACTCTGTTTTTAGTTTTTTATGTGATGACTGTGCTTTGTTTTTTTTAAAGCTCATTTAATAGTAAGATCTTTGTTTAGATTATATTTATATATTTTTTTTGTTGGATTTCATTTTTCATTTTGTTGTACTATCTGTAATATATTCTCTTTAGGGTTTGAATCCAGCAACTTTTGTCGAATTAATAAGAAAAGAGTAAACTTTGGAATTTTAAGGCTGTTTGACTTTAGGGTTTTGCTTTAATGATGTGTTTGTGTAGTATTCAGGAATTAAGTTTGTTGGTAATTAATTTCAATTTTTGCTGTGTGTTAAGGTTCAAAATATCATTACTACTTGTTAAGGAGCCTCCTGGAAGTAAAAAAAAAAAAACATTGTTCTTGATGGATAAAGATAAGTCTTCTAATCATGGCACTGGGAGTTTACTGCCTCCATCAGGGAGGTTCTCTGTTTTTTCTCCACCCGGTATTGGTTATAATGCAAAGTCTGAGCAAATGGGATCATCAAATTTGCCTCCACTATGCCCGGGGAATTCATCAGAGCAGGGTCATTTTGGTCATGGGATGCAGTTAGATGATTTAAGCCGAATGCCCGATAACCCACCTAGGAATTTGGGACACCGTCGTGCTCATTCAGAGATTCTTACCCTTCCTGACGATATTAGCTTTGATAGTGATCTTGGTGTTGTTGGAGAATTTGATGGGCCATCATTGTCTGATGAGACCCAAGAAGACCTGTTATCAATGTATCTTGACATGGATAAGTTCAATTCAACATCTGGCACTTCTTCAGTCCAAGTGGGTGAATCATCTAACTTGCCAGTGGCGAAGTCCAGTCCTTCAGCCAACCCTTCAACTGATAATGTCGCTCTGGCTGTAAGCGAGAAGCCAAGAGTTAGGCATCAGCATAGCCAATCCATAGACGGGTCTATCAAGCCAGAGATGCTCATGTCGGGTTCGGAAGAGCAGTCTCTAGGTGAGTCAAAGAAAGCTGTATCTGCAGCTAAGCTTGCTGAGCTTGCTCTTGTAGATCCAAAACGAGCTAAGAGGTAAGGTTTTTGCTTGAATCTATTAATTTTTTCTGTGAAGCATATTAGTTCTTCTGGTTCTTGTTACTACTTTGACCTATTAGTTTGCTGAAGCTTTAAATTTGTCATCTACATTTTTGTTGGCTTTTGTTCATCATCTGATATAGGAGCTGATCAAACTAATGATAATGCACGACCTGAATCCTTTCCTATTTTTCTATATATTCCACATGGCTGGTAGTTTGTACTTATTGCAATGCATAAGGATGAAATTTAGTCATAAATCCTTTTGTCTTCAAATATTAGATGTATTCCGTTGACAGCCCATGTACATAGAACTTGGCAGCTAGAGCATCGTGGCTGGGTCGTGTTATTTTTCTCATTTCTGTCTGAATCTTGTAATATTGCTGCTGGGTTTGATAACCTCATGGATTGGATTATCCTGAAGCTGCTCCCTGTTTTTGGGCTCGTATGTCCATGCTGATGGTTACAGAAATGGCTTGGGGTTACAGACATGGAGGGGAGAGAACATCAATAGATTTAGTCTAAATGGTTATTTGTTGGGAAAATTTGGAAAATTATAGAGGTCAAAATGTTGTACATCGTGCCAATTCAAACCAGGTCACTGAGCCCTTTTGACTTCTTCTATCGAGGAAGATGATGTGGTGGCAATTCAATCAAAGTCAGAGAGGCGAGGTCTCCCTTCCTCCTTCTATGTCTTCTTCTTTATCTTTTCTCGTCTTTTGAACAACACAGAATAAAGTTTTGTTTATGTTATATCACTGTATAACTCATCGCTGCGTGACATTTGAAGAATGAAGCCGGCGATAACTACTTCCATTTCGTTGTACCACTACTTTCCATCAGGTCTGTAAACTTGCAATGCTACATTCTTATTCGCAGGTGAGTCTGTAATATGAAAGAAAATTCAAAAAGTTATTTAACCTGAAAAATTTGCCTTGTCAATTGTCAGCACACCCCTTTTGCAACCCTTCTGCCAGTTCCCAATGCAGAGTAGGTATAGTTATCATTTTGCTCAGAGAAGATCTTATTGATAAATGCAAAGGGTGGTTCCTCGTTTACTCTGTTTGGAAGGATAATCCCTATATTTTTGTATTCTTTCATTCTCCCTCCACTGTCTCTAGTAGTAACCTTTTAACTTGAATTCAATTTGATTGGTGCTGAATCTTTGTTATAACCGTTAGCAATGTGATCAAAACTTCCAGCGGCTTTTCCTATCTTCATATGATTAGCATATGAATGTTTCCTGCTTGGAGTATTGTAGAGAGGGTGCAGCATTTTTTTAATGTAATCCTCTCACATCCGTTGTGTAACAGGATTTGGGCTAATAGGCAATCAGCTGCTCGGTCAAAGGAAAGGAAGATGAGGTACATTGCCGAGCTTGAAAGGAAAGTCCATACTCTTCAGACAGAAGCTACTTCCTTGTCTGCACAGTTGACCTTGTTGCAGGTGATTTTTGCCTCTCCTCCCGGACTAACTAAATTTTTTCTGTTGATGGGTGGTTCCCCTCCCTCCTTCTCTATGGTTACTCAAAATGGAAAAAGAAAAAGAAAAGGAAATAGTTTAATATAAGTAAATAGTAAGAAATCAAAGAAGAAAATTGGAGCTAAATGCCAGTAGTCTGAAAAAAATACCTCATTTGGCTTTACAATAAAAGGGGAGAACTTAGTTTATAGAATGCACTGTTTAAATTCCCTTGTAAATACTGGTTCTGAAATTATATTATCTATTTCTTTACCTAGATTTACATGTGCAAGAATGAAATGTTCTGTTTCTTGTTTTTGTTTTCTTCTTTTTACCAACAGAGGGATACAAACGGTCTTACAAATGAAAACAGTGAACTAAAAGTGCGATTGCAATCAATGGAACAACAAGTGCACTTGCAAGATGGTAAGACTATCTTTATCTACTTCTGCAGGGATTTTCACCCTATCCTTGCTGTCTTCCCACTATTTGGTTTTAGAAATATCTTGAAAGTAGAAGATGCAGAATGAAGCAAAGATTGAACTTAGGACTTTGATTGTTGACCATGATATATAATTTGGGAAAGATAAAAAAAAAATTGTCGTTTACTGCCTTCTAAAGAATAAGAGCCTACCATCATTTGGTTATTGCTTGGTCAGCGTAGTCATATGATTCATACGTTGGGGTAACATTGTAATCACTTAACAATTTTGTGGCTGATCCCGTAAATATTAATAAGATGCTAATTTTCTCTTGTTTTATCCTAAACGCAGCATTAAATGAAGCGCTGAAAGAAGAGATCCAGCATCTGAAAGTGCTGACTGGTCAAGCAATGCCAAACGGTGGACCTATGTTGACTTTTCCTGCATCCTATGGAGCCAACCAACAGTATCATCCCGGCAATCATGCTATGCACACCATGTTGACTGCTCAACAATTACAGCAGCTCCAGATTCATTCTCAGAAACAGCAGCATCAACTACTTCAGCAGCAACAGTTGCAGCACCAGCAGGAACAAGCCAGGGACTCAAAGCTTAGAGTTTCGATGCTTACGCATATTCAAAAAGACCTCTCTCCAGATGCATCATCAAAGGATTAGAAGTTGAAATGGGCGTGTTGGATACTGGGAGGTTAGTGTATGTCAGGAATCTCGCTGGTTGTTATATATCTTAGGTTTGCTCTTTTGGTTAGTCCTCCTTTTAGGTCCGAACTAAGGATATTACTCTCTAGGCAGTCTATTGAATTTTAGTTGGTTAACTTGTGAAGGTTTTTATTTTTATTATTGTCATCTAGACTTCAGTTTCTTAGTTTATTCACAATTTCATTTATTAGTTGACTCATTTTGATTACTGTGGTTTTTTTGGCTTCTCTCTCTCTCTGTGGCACACGTACAAAAATGTAGAAAAGCATTTTTATGCATGCTTAGATACTTGATGCTTATTCACTATTGTCTTTTATGTATGGAATCTGATGAGTTGGTCAGCCATTTGAATCTGCTAGGGTATTTCTAGGCAGCCTCTTGATCCGAAGTTGCAACCTCAGTTCCTTTAGAATTCTGTCCCCCCCCCGGGCCAGGAATTCTCTTCTGTTGACATTGAAACTGTTCTCCTATGTAAACGACATTTTTGTTGAAGGAAAATGATTAGGCACATTCATATTGTTTGGAAAAAACAACACTAGAAATAAAACAAAATAAACATCAATACTGTCACAGTTATTCTTCTGCTGGACCCATTTAACCAAAATAAGGCCTAGGTTTCTGAACAAGATTAATGAACTTGGAGAGGGTAAGGGAGGGTGGCAATGTGATTATGGGCCACAGTTCCAATCCACAACTTCCCATTTGCCTCTTTTACTTCACTCACTAGCTTCATCACTACACCCTTTTTGTCTTCAAGAACTTCCAATATATCTCCGTTATCACTGAGGAGTGATACCATAGAATACATCCTCATTCCCACCAACCTGGCCAAATACCTCATTGGAATGGGCAGTCGGAAGTATATGCTCCTAAACCATGGATTGTGAATGAGAAACTCCTGTGCTTTAGTCCGACAACAATCAATTGCTACCCAAAACTGGCCTTTTTCGTTAAGCCTTATGTTGTCTGGAAATCCTGGAAGATCAGCTATGATCTCGATGGTACCCTTGTCAGAACCCTCTAGAAAGTACTTGATGATCCTGTGGCAATTTAATGAATTTCAGCTTATATTTATCATTTCTGGAAAATTAATGAAAAACCAATCATGTGATGAACAAGAGCGTCTTAAACCTGCAATTAGTTGTTTCAGTGAATAGAAGAAAGGATTGGTCTTTGGACAATTGGACTCCATTTGGAAATGCCAAACCCTCCAATACTACATGTGTTGTTCTTGTAGGTGGATCATATCTAAGGAGTCTACCAGTGGCTTCCCCTTCCAACATTATGAAGAAATGGTCCCTGCAATAACCAAAGAAAACACATGTAGCTACTCGTAGGGGTAAAATATTAACAGATTTGAACCCTCACTTCACTGAACTTACACCCTATTGTATTTCTTGCTAGTATCAGTGAAAAAGATGGATCCATTGTCATGAATATCGAGGTCATTTGCAAAAAGAATAGGCTTCCCGTCTACGTGTGTTGCCAATGGAGTGGCAAGGCCTCCTTCAGGTCCCACTACCAGTAGGCCATAGTAAGAATCTGCAATGTACAGATCTCCACTTTTTCTGTCGAACCTAAGGCCGAGGGGACGACCACACCTTGACTCAACCTTCCATTGCTTATGTGTAGTTGAATCAACACCTTTAGAACATAGCTTCTCAGTCCTTGGGACGGAGTAAGAAACAACAGATCATGTTAGAACTTTATATTAGCAATTGAGAATCATTTATGGTAAGAAAAAATGATTACCAGTTACTCGTTACAAGTGCAAATGTTTCCCATCCTGCATCTTCTCCAATCCACCGTACAATTCTTCCATCAGCAAGTCCAGCGTAAGGGCCACGGCCCCATATATCAAACTCCAACGACTCGGGGCCAAAAATTTCATCCTTGAACTCCAAGTTTCCCAATCCCAACCGGCTCCGGTTGTCCCTGGGCCAACTCTCCATGACTTTCTGGTATGAAGCAATGTCATTCTTTACAGGCCTAAAGTCATGGCCCCCTACTGGACTTAATTGAAGGGGATCCATGATGATGAAGCTTAAAATGACTGCAAGAACTATGAGATATGGATGCTGCAATAGAACTTCATCTTTGAGTTGCAGTATTCTCTTCTCCATGTGAGTTCTCTGGGGAAGTAAAACGTGTGTGTGTAGGATTTTGGGATGATAATATATTGGGATTGATGAATTCATGCGGAAATTATGACGGGGTTGTGGTTAAAAGTAGGTCTTGTATTGTTTGTCATGTTTTCTACATTCTTTCTTATTGTTGTGAAGTAAAACATGGAGAAGTTGTAAATTAGCAGCAGAGTTTTTCTTCTTATTTATGTCCATTGAAGATCAATGGTGACCAAGAAACCAACAACTATGTACTCTTCCGAACTCTACCGGCCTCAATCGAATTGAAGCTAGCTAACTTGGAAACGTGTGATGTAAATCATCAAACGTTGTCGACCTCATTTAGAAATCCTCGAATTAGAAGTAAGGTGTACCCAAAGAATAAGGGTTCATATTTAGTGATGTGGTGAATCATTTGAAGTCATATCTAATACTATCAGAAGATGCAAGTATAACACAACATACGAGTATAATACAGTATACACAAATATTTTGACTTACCCAACTCTAACAATTTACGTTCTCTAGCAAAGTATGCATTCCATTTATTTTAAAGTTTATTACTAATATTTTCTTAGTTGAGAACAATCGACTGAATATCCAAAATAATCATTTAATAAGAAATTTAAAGTGTCAAATTCACTCATGGCCGCAGCTTTTCAAGTTTTAAGCCCACAACCATAAAGATCACTTCCAGTTCCAGCCACTGCTGGAAAGTATTGACTGAGTAAAATGAAAGAGAATTCGGTTGAGGACCCAAGAGATTGGTTTGGTATTGTCTATTGGGGTATTTCGAAAGCTCCGCTATCTATCCGAATAATTCACTTTTCGAGGTTCTCCTTTCAAACCTTTGCACTCAGTGTTACCTCCGTCGTGAACGTTAAAAATTGTTTTAGTCAAATCACCATGTCATATTGGCGTCTATTTTTTAAGAAAATGCCATTTGTACACTCCATGCTTGACATTACCCACATTTTAAAAAAATTGTTGGTGGAAAAAACCTTTCTTTTTAAAAAAAAAAAATTGGCAAATGATAGTTTGTTGTATGCGAATTGTCAAACTTGATGTACACTTGATTGTATTTTTAACACAAAAATATACATGGACTGGTGATATTGGATTTTCCAATAAATAATAATGCCAAATCTACTTTGTAAAGTTGCATGGTAAGTCTTTAAAAAAAAAAAAAAAAAAAAAACATCTTCTTTCATTGGATTTTGTGATACTAGTAATCTAGTATCCTAGTAGTTTTGTATTATTACTGTTCAATATGCATTGTATTATTGTTGCTAGTACGCACGCCACATTATTTACATTATTATTTAATTATCGATGCCTATTGTAGACTATGATACACGATAGGCTCTTTGCATATTATTTCTTAGAAAAGTTTGATTTGCTATTTTCAAGTTGTGATCGTGACTCATGAGTATTTGAGGGGTCAAATGGGCGCCAAATTATTTTGTGTATGTAGTGTGGAGATATTGTATTTTATTTTAGGCTGGCTTAGATGATATTATAGAGAAACACCGTCAAAATTTTGATAAATTATATGTTATATCTATCTTTTAAGATAATTTGTAAGTCCTCGCCTATTCAGGCTCACACAAATATTTTCAAAGCAGTTTGTAAGTTCTCATTTATTGGAGCGACTTGTATTATTAAGACAATTCGTAAGTCCTCAACTATTTGGAAGCAATACATATTTTCGAGGCAACTCTCACTTATTGGAGTTCATATTTCTAAGGCAATTTTTAAGACATCGTCTACCAAGAACTTATCTCAAATTCGCCTCGCATATGAATATATGACCTAGAATTGATAGACTATTATTATATCTATAAATTACGCGACATACACGTGATGGAGGGGGTTCCACACGACTGGATATCGATTATTCAATTAGATTGGACCTGTTAAATTAAGCAACCTCGTCTTGACCTTGAACTTGAGCTCGTTTCACTAAATTCACTTGGTCCATTTCCATTTCTCTCTATATATGTTGGAAATTTATTTGTTGTTCAAAATTAAAAGGGGGAAAAAAGAAGGGGGCTTAACCATGTGACTGCGTGGATTAAGCCCATGCAGTCGCATGAGGCCCTCCCATTATGGGAGGGCCAGGGAGGCTATAACCATGCGACCGCATGGCTATAGCCCATGTGGTCGCATGGTTACAAAAAACTAACTGTTTGATCGTTTTTTATTTAAATTTGGTGACTTTTCACTTATTTCTTGCACTATTTCGTGGGAACTTGCCAAGGCCTATAAATAAATAGGTGATCCAAGTGCAAGAAAAATAATATTGAGTTCCATTAAAATTTATCCTCAAATACACTTCCAATATTGAGAAAATTTATCACATAATCCTTTCATTTTTCACTTGTTCATTGTGAAAAAACGCCTTTGTTTTTTGGTGTTCTTCTTATCAAGGCTTGTTTAATCCTACAAATTATTTGTCGGAAATCCTTAAAAAGCATTGAAAATGAGGCAAATAATGTTTGAGAACAGCGATATTAATTTCGTGTTCAAGCCTACATTGATATACTTTTATAATTTTCTTCTCCATTGCCATTATTTTTTGCAACAATCTCAAACATTAGTTGTTACTATTATTGCAATGTAGACGGAATTTACACTTGCTACTATCAAAATGATGAATCAAGACCTGGTATGCTTGGACAGATTCAATGGTGCAAATTTCACAAGATGACAAGACAAACTTAAATTTCTATTAACGGTCTTGAAGATCTTCTATGTGCTTGATCCAAAATTGGAGTCCATTCCCGATGCACTGACAAGGATACCGAAGAAATTCACGTAGAAACAAAGAAACGGGAAGAGGATGAATTGATATGCCGTGGCCATATCCTAAATGCATTATCCGATCGCCTCTATGATCTCTATACCAACACTACACCAGCAAAAAAAATCTGGTACGCATTAGAAAGCAAATACAATGTCAAGTACATAAGTTACAAATAATTGTAAATAAACTAAAAGCTGTAAAAATCGAACTTCTCGAAACTTTTCAAGTGGGAGCAATTATTGCTAAACTTCCTGGTTCTTGGAAATGATATAGGAAGAA